GAAAATCAATGTAGATTAGTATATATATGCAGGTAAATCATGCTTACGAGCACCATATAAATTACTGGAAGCTGCTAAATCACATTTAAAAACTCGATAGGTTTAACTACACGAACACTACAGGAGATAAGCCTGAAATTGCTCGAATGAAAAAAGGTATAGATCAAAATGTTGGGTCAGATAATATATATGCTTTTTTTCTTCTTCTGAAGTTCTTTATGGTCTTTCTCAGATATCGATTCAGTCTTTCACTCATCGCTGAAATTATTGCTAATTGATACAAAAAGCTCCTTGTTACAAGTTGTTTCCAAAGAATGAAATTTGGAGAACTGTTGCAAGTGAGAAAAGAATGCTTTTAGCTACTTGTACTTGAAGTAGAGTCGTAGCAATTGGCTAGTAGTTTGGAACAGTGTAATATAGAAACTGGTGTGTTTTAATTAAATTATATATTGAAAGTTATAGAACTTGTTTTTTCGAACTAGCTGACGTTTATGAGAAGCATTAGGGTTATGGCAGCATAGCAGATTCATTCTCTGGTTATACTCTAAGGATGGGGTCTTTATAAATTTTTGAATTAAAGGAAAAAATCGTAGTTGCACCATTGCCTCTGTCCTTCCATATTTAGATAGAATAATGATAATAATAATACGTTTGGTTGTTTCATAATATTCTTGTAACGTGATTTTTCAATGAGTGGGTTCCTTAGATTATTTGGTAAAAATAATGCGAGATCCAGTCTCTGTAATTATAATAAATTAATTTATTTCGTCTGGCTTGTAGTTTTGGGACAGTGTAATATAGAAACTTGTGTGTTTTATTTGTTTAAATTACTTGTTACTAATACATATTTTGATGTCTATTTTCAAATTTGTTGTTATATATTGTTACGACAGCGGAAGTCATGCAACGCTGGGAGTATATGCGCTGGAGTTTCTCGACGGATCGTGAATTTTCCTGGCAACTCTAGTTTGTTCCAGACGCCCTCTTTTTTTAGTATATAAGCCCAGCTAATAAAGCCAGCAAAAAGATAGAATTGCATAGATATATAGATATGCAGATAGATTGAAGATAGAGATAGATAATTGAGTCAAGCGAACAGTAGGCACCGTAAGTAAAGTGTGTGAATCGTTGTGAATTATAGCGTGTGTTTATAAAAGTAGTTAAGTTAAAGTGACAGTGGAAATTCTGTGTATTACAAAGTTGTATCGAGAAAGAATAAACTTGTGTTATTTAAGAAAGGACTTATATCGCTGAAGTTTCTCGAAAATAATTTATACCGGAAATTAACAAACGAACAGAGACGTAACAATATTTTCTTTTCACATCTTGATATTTACTTAGAAGGTTCTAGTGATCATGCAAATGAAATATAAAACAGTAAGTTAAATAAAAGTATTGTATTATAGTCTAAAAACCACTTTCAGTTTTTTCGATATATTCAAAGTTTCTGAAATTAACGATCAAAGTTTTTGCAAATTATTGCATACAAAGTCTGATTTCACATTTATGGTAATTTTCATTTGTATAATAAAAAGATGCAACATTTCATGAACATCCAAAGTTATATTACTTATTATTTCACCTTGAAGTTTCAGGTCCTATGATCACCAAAAGCGGGAATCTGGACCCCATCACCTCTTGTTTCATCTTCGAGCCGTTTCGTACTAAATACTTTCCAAAGCAGTGGAACGCTAGAAACCGGGTTTCGATACCCGTGGTGGGCAGAGCACAGATAGCCCATTATGTAGATTTGTTTGAATTCCAAACAAACAAGACAGTACAAAAATGATCGGTAGCCTCCTCCCTCCAGTGTTTGGGTCGGGCATTTTTATAAGACCACTTGACAACAGCAAACAAACTTCGTTTTATTTCAAGTCTCAAGTGAATCCCACCACATTTGTAGTAGAACTATATGCATAATTTGTATTAATAACAGATAGTTACAAAACAAACAAATTTAGAGGGCGCTGTTAAAATTTGTGGGTAAATCAGTTTGTATCGTTATAGGGTCCTGGAGTAAATACTAAATACAGTGAATTCAATCTGAGTGGACCGTTGTATTTAAAAGGTATTTATAATTTACTTTCTAAATAAATAAATTATATATATTACAATTACAGACATAAGTCATAAGATACTTCGACAGTGAGAAAGGCTGCGGTATGATTGTATCATTTATGAGATTAATAATAATATATAATCTGAGACAGACAGGCGATTTATACAACTAGTGAACTACAGTTCGACATTTACTAGTTTTGGGCCAAACTTCAAGCTCAAGATGTGCTTGCAGTTATATATATATATATATATGTTTGATTTTTAACTTGTACATTTAAAATAATGACATGTATAACTTAAGTCTTAAATTAGGTGAAGAGAGTTATAGTTATACTGTTATGCTTATAATTATAGTAGAGTATATAGTAAAGGGATCAGTACGGCACATATTCAAAATGTGAGCTTATCAAAACGTATCTGTTATTCATAGTATCTAAATCACAATTTGTTCTTGGATTAAAAATTCTGCAAATAGAACAAAATTCAATATTCTATTTTTATAAAAATAGACTGTAAATGACTAGGATGTTATCAACAATCATAGTTAAATTCCTCTTTCACCCCCCTCCCCCCCTTCCTTGTTTACTACAACACCAATCAAATGTCTTGGTAAATGAACCAGATTGTGAAGATGAGTTTTTCAATATTCATTAGTAATTGTATAAAGTTACATACTTAATCTATGATTATTTTGAAAAGGCTTACAGGAGCATATATTTTTAGATAAGGGAAGCATCCTCAGCAGAATGTTAAAATAGTCTAGGTTTTATAGTTGCACTATGAATTACAATTATTATGAATTGACTGACAGCTTATTTCATCCTCAAGCACTTCCAGTTAAATCCCAGAATTTAATATAGTAGCAGGGAATATCCAATAATGTTAAGTCTGTTATAATCTAAGATACAAAGCAATAGAATTCCAGTACCACCTAGTCTATTTTGAACCAATTGCTGTAACATAAAATGGCAGAAAATTCTGTCTGTTGTAATATTTTTGTTAACTATATGTAGTTGTAGATGGCAGAAACATGATATAGCTGAATGGATAATTCCTCATCAGAAAACAATGAAAGACAAAATGTTGCTGTATGTTTAAAAATATTACTTATTCTTCTCAGGAACAATATATCATGCTGTAAAAGAACCCTGGCAAGTTGAATCTGAACTTATTAAAAAAAAAAATGCTTGAGCCTTCCAATAAAAGTGCAAGACTTCCACTTTAACTTCCTGGTGTATTATAGTAAGTTATAAAATTGTATCCAGTTTTCTCTTTATACCTCTTTTTTATAGTTAGTAAGCTCAAATCAAGATCTTCCATTCCTTCTCATGAGTAATCGAACAGCAATAAATAAATGTGACTGAGTTATACCTACATATGTTACAGTAGTGAGTAAAAGACAACTCAAAACATCATACATATAATGGTATCCACTATAAAAATTAAAAGCAAATTATAAACATCATTCAGTGTTCAGATTGCAGTTAAATGCAAAATCTCTGAATGGAATACTATGTGAAAATAGTAGTAACTATAAGAGATGAAATACTTTTTCATCGTGTATGATATCTTTGATATTAAAGGAGAGTATAATAAACATTTTCTATTTGAGATTGTAGCAGAAATAACATATTTAATAATATTACACAGATGTTTGTACTGTAAGAGGTCATACCACATATTGGTGAACAGCAAATTTAAATTGATTTTTTATGCCACAAGATAGGAATATCAGTCCAATTTCCAGAATTATATTTGGAAATATTTAAATTCTATAAAAAAAAGCAAAATAATAAGAATATAGCATGGTCATCCATTTAGATGGCTAATTGATTTAAAAGTATCCAGTTGTATCTCTCCATCAGAAGATGTAGGGCTGTTGTCTTGATTTTTTTATTCTTAAGATTTGACAAATCTTTGCAAACAAGACTGATTTAAAGTTCCATCCTTGATCTGAGTGAAGTTCCATTGCCACATTAAATCTGGAAACAAAATTATTCGAGAGCTTTCTTGTTAGAGTTTCTGCTTCCTGGTTAAGAACATATTTATTGACATTTGATTATTTGACAAAGTTTGCCCATCTCAGGCATTATAAGTTTATCACAGTTTGAAATGCAGTGGTGTTTGTTAGCTGGCTGTTCACCTTTGTTTTTAGGTTTTGAATTAGGAGCACTTCCTTTTTTCTTAATGTTCATTCATCTGTTGCTGAATTTATTATTTTGAAATGTTCAATATTAAGCTTCCCACAACAGTCTTTGCTTAGATGGTTGTAAGTTCCAGAGTTATTGGAAGGGCTGTCTTGAGCATGCTCCTTAATTCTGGTAGGTAGGCTTCATGTCACTGGATTCACTTGATGGAAATTGCTAATTGATTGGCTCTTTTTTTCATGACGTTATATGTTACCCGAATGATAGAAAGGAGGATCTAGGCTTTGTATACTTTGATAAAGTGACACTCTGCTAGCTAAGAAAATTACATCAGTAAGGGTTTTAGTAAGACAAGTAAAATTGGGTTGTAGAATGGTTGGATTAGAGAAATCAAAAAGCTGTTATTAATAGTGTCCACTCAATCTAGTTAAACTGGGTTGTGTTTACTAGTGCAGTGCTTCAGAGGTCTGTACTTAGGATATGTTTTTAATTTAGACACTTGTATTGTTTCATCAGTTCTAATGTTACATGAAGATTGTTTTCTTGATTTTTCAGTTCTGAGCTCCTCCCCATATGTTTTCAATAGGATCAGGAGAGCATTTGCATTGTGGATGCATTTGTTAGGTATCCATTTCTTCTACTGTCTGAATGACTGGTTCCTTCTTGCTCTATCCAAAGATGCATCCATGGTGATGATCTCCATTATCATTTGAGAGGCATCTCAATTGGGTTGGCCACTTGAGTCTTCTAAGTTTGTTTTGGCTCCCACTCAGTATTTGATTCACCTGGGTGTCTTTTTCTACTTGGGTGTAGGGTTGGCTCATTCATCTTCTTTATGTCTTCTAGTTACCAAAGCTCTCATGTCTCATACTCTTCCTGCATGAAAGGTTCATTGTGTGTCCTTTCAGTAGAACCTAGCTAATTCCTGGTCATTTCTAGTATCTCTCTCTCTCTTCGTCTCTTCACAATTTCTTCTGTTTTGATGGTCTGATTAGTCTGACATGATTGTGGGCATACCTCTTCCTCTACTTTGCCCAGACCTGCATCTTTTCAGTGATGCCTCACTTTCCAACTAGGTGACAGTTCTAGACACCTACACCCTATTTGGGGCATGGTCTTGAGATGAGTGGTCATTTTATATCAGTGTCTTAGAATTGTTGGCTGTTCATCAAATTTGCCATAATCTTCAATCTCATCTATCCTTTTATGATGATCCATTAGGACAACTCCACTGTCATGACTTGCATCAATTTACTGGGAAGCAATTGATCTCGGGACCTCTCCTCTCTTGTTCTGGGTTTTCGTTTTTGGGCCCATGACCACTACATTTGGTTGTCAGTCTGTCATGTCATGGGAGTTTTGAACCTAGTAACAGATCAGGTATCTTGCTTAAACTAGATCCTTCCCATGGATTGGTTTCTGCATCCTTGGTGTTTCAGTGGATTTGTTCCCACTTTGGATATACTTTCATTGAAGCCTTTGTGACTCTCTCAACACCAAGCTTCCCCTTTTATGGTCACTAATACCAGATTTTATAGCTGCAGCAGTAGATAATATGAGACAGGATTCATCAATCTCTTTCTTTATGTTTATCCTACTTTTTGTCTTCTTCCCAGAATTTTGTCTTTTATTTGTGACACCCTTTGCAAGGTTCTTCTCATTGCTTCTCTTTTGCTGGATCAGATGTGGTTTCCATTCCTTTACCTTTTGACATCCAGGGAGTCTCTTCCACCATGGAGGTCCCTTTTATGTCAGCTTTGGATATTGATCTTTCAACATGAGGTATCATGTCTTTATCTTCGCATGCAGGATTAGTTTGGTCCCTTGAAAGATGAGCAGGCTTGGTCATCCAGTCCTGCAATTTATCAAAGCAAATAGATGATTTACTGCTGCTCGTCCTCTTGCCACTTCCTTTTTTATCTGCCATTTTGAAAGTAATTTACCTGTTTCTTTGATTGACAATTATAGGGCGGCTTTGTCGATGACTTTCTGTCTCTTCCTCAACCATTCTTCCTCTGGTTCTTATGGACTTCTTCTGAGCTTTTCTCATCAGTTGACCTCTTTGTCCGGTGCTCTTTCTTGACTGGAACCTTTGTATCATTCTCTGGGCCCTCACATGTTCCCCATTTGAACTTTGGACAACCAGTTCCTTAAATAATCTTTCTTTAAAGATGTATTTTCTTCTGGTTTACTGGAGACATCACTGATATTACCAATACAATATCTTACCTCCTCTCACAAAAAGTTTTCTCATCTTATACTGCCCTCTATCGGCACAAATGTTCACTCGCCACTGGCCTTGATACTCCCACTTATTTCTGCTGACTAACATGCAAATAATTATGCAGCAATCCTCCACCAATAGGAGTGTGATACTACCCCTATCACAACTAGCACTCTAATATTGCAGCTGTTAACCACTTCTCACTTGGCAGTCTTATTGAATAGAAGTGTTTTTGCTCCTGGTTTGACTAACTTATCCACAAGTTTTTACTTTTTCAATTTTTCTACATCAGTTTAATTGTTATTTACCATTTTCATTATTTTTCATGGAGAGTTACGATTTGTTATATATTCTCTATTCTTTCACTTTTGAGAGTTCTGCAACTGCTGTTACTGCTGCAGTGGAATTACCAACCACGTCCAACAGGTTGGAAGGATGATTCTCGGCACAAGAAGTGATGGCTCTGGTCTGTCGGGAGTTGACCATTTACATGCTAAAAATCAGAACTAACTGATGATTGTCCTCTTATACCTGCTCAGTGATTGGGAATATGTGAATTAGGACAGCTTTTTTTCCCCTCCTGGATATGCCTCTAGTTGCATGCTGTATCAGGGAACTTCCCCAGATGCTCTTCCCCTTTTGTTGAATTGATTATTTAGGTATGTTATGTGCTGTCCTTATTTCCTGTTTCCAATATAGCTATTCTCGTTCAGTGCTGCCTTCCATATGCAAAAAGTTTTTCGCATGCCACTAGCCTTGAGCTCCCACTTACCCCATGATCAGTGTGGTTCAACTGCATCTGACATGTAAATCATCATGTAACAACCCCCCCCCCCCACCAATAGGAGTGCAATATGTGAATCCCTCTATTCAATTCTACCAAACTATCACTTCTGATTTGGCAGTGCTATCTTCAAGACGTTCTTTGTTTGTGCTCTCTTTCTGCATTTTTTTTTGTAAATTCATATAAAGTAGAAATATTTTTCAGTTTTTTTTCCTACTTCACTTTAACAGTTTTAAGTCATCACTTACCTTTATTGTTCTTCAAATTTTTTCTTTTCCCCCAAAGTCTCTGTTTCCACTTTGAAATTGATATCACTTATTTCCAGTACAATTATACAGGCTTCAGGTGACTGAGGAATTGTCAGCTTTCATATGTCGGGAGATTGATTGTTATATGAGTTGACCTTTATCGGGCCTCGAGTTTGGGGGCCCACACATTTTGAATGTTGTCCGCCGACTTTGGACAGATAAGCTGTTATACTGTTATAGTTTTTAAAAATTTTTTGATATTAATATTATTATTATTTGTAGTTATTTGGGTTCAATAACATAAGTTTAGTTTGATTTGTAAATACTTGTTGTAACGTTAGGGTATTAAGTTAGAGCTTAGTGATATCCTTTGTACCACAAAGTTAGATCAGGCTTAACAAGTGTCTTTGTTATCTTATGCTTAACTGTCACTCTCCCTCTTTTCCTTCTAGTGAAGTATGGGATACCTTACCACATTCTATTTCCAAGTTGCTGGGGAGTGGACCATGGAGGCATCCTCCTAAATATGATAGTGATATACAATACAAACAATATTGAGAGTAGGGTAGTGGTGTTGTGCTGGTGTAGATGATGATATGTCCTTCAAGCTCATGCTCCATCTCTGAACGGGTTTATCTGAGGGGATGTAGCTTTGGAGTGAGCAATCAATAATTGCATTTCACTCCTTTGATTGGGATCCCTCATCCTACCTCCACATTACAATCTAAAACCCAGCCACCAGGAACCAACATCCATGTGGAGGAAGGAAAGAGGATCATACTATCAGCAGGTCAACTACAATCCAAAACCCAGCCACCGGGAACTGACATAGGAAAAGG